TTGTCACACAACGTCCGAAAGGAGAAAATCACACCACCTAAATAGAAACTCACCACTATCTCTACCCCAAACACAGGCAATGTTAATCAAAAAAAGAATCTTGGGAAACGTTAAACATTCCATACCCATTACAAATGATTCAAACAATAGGGGAAAATACATGAGAAAATGGATCACAAAAGGGAAATTATGTCAACTCCAATTTCACCAAAATCAACAAATATGACTTTTCAAAAAAATAGGGTTACCTGGTCCATAAGAAAACTCTTAAGACTAAATGGAACAACTTTCCCTCATATGGGATTTATGAGTAAATTTTCCTTCAAAAATTACATTTTATCTATTCAAATTTATAATTACATAATAACTGAATTATTTTATAAATAAATTATCAAGTCAATTAATAAGTTTTAGTGATATTAAAAATATATTTCAATTAACAATTCAGATAGTTTTATTGTTGAATAGAAAAGTAGTTAGAAATTTTATTTTTCTTGTTAATTCTGTTAAATAAAAAATTTCATGTATATCATTAATGAAAAAAACTACGTCAATCCAATAATTGTAGTATTTCAATTTTATTGCATTTGTCTTCGAAAAAATAAATGATAAGTGTTTTTTTGAAAATAAACCATATACTTTTTTAACGACAAACGTAATAAAAATATATATAATTATTAGATTAATCTGATTTTCTTTTATAGATAATAAACATAGGACCCTACATTTGAACGGTTCCAATCATTTAAATGGGAATTATAAACAATTCTCTCGAGAAGTAATTCGGTAGCCTTAAGACATGATTAGGTGATACACTAAAAATATTGTGATTGATAGAAGTGATGTGATCAACAACTTCATATTGGGATATAAAAAATAAAAAATAACATAAAAAAATTCAAATTAACGATAAATTTTAAAGATTTTAATTATTAAGTACATAAACCTTTTTTGAAGGTTGTTCAATAAAAATGAGGTCAAGGGAATTTTTCTAAATTTTTATAGAATTTTTGAAAGTGGGCTAGAAATACCAGTTCTTCATGTACAAAACTTGAAATAAGAGAAAAAGTAAAAAAAAAGAGTGACTATAGATAATTTTTCACTTCTATTATGACGAAAACATGTTAAATAATATGTTATAAATTCAGAATTTTGAATTTAAGGTGTGCCTTAGAAATCATGTGAGATAGGAGTAGGAAAAGGTCGTCTTGATTACATTAAGAGAAACAAGTAAGGATGGAATAAGGCCCAACTCTTTTCTCTTTAACACAAGAGTCACCTTTAAAACACATCTGAAAATAATATTTAAAACTTCAAAGAACATGTATTTGAAAGAAAAAATAGAAGGAGAGGTGGTATTGTGGCTGGCTTGGTGCCTAGTTGAGTTGCTTGTACAATTTTCTTTTCTTTTTCTCTCCCCCACCACTAAGCTCTCTCTTTTTTTCTTGGGCAAACTTCATTTTAACCCCTTATAGTTTGGTTCATGTACGGATCACCCTTTATCATTTAGAAATAACCACGTAACACCCTTATGATTTGTAGAACAAAATGCACCATTAACACGATTGACGGAAATAAGAAAAAGACTATTTTACCTCTATATTATTACACAATTTTTTTCCTTTTTTTTTTGCGACTTTTTTCCCGTCGTCTTCTTCAAAAGTAGCTTAAATTCTTCTCCATACTACAACCACCATAAAGACAATTGGGAGCAAGAGGGAAGATAAAACCAATCAAGTGCTCTCTCTTTCTTACACACCTACCGTCAGCACCTTTCCGTCACTGGAGCCCCATCTCTACCCTCCTTCAACCGCACCCAAATCATCCTAACGATTTCCATTTCAACATCACCAATTTGTATGAATTGATACACACACACACACACATATATATATATATATATATATATATATATATATATCTGCATTGGTCTCTTAGAAATCAATGAATTGGTTCCATCCCGATTATGCCTTTTTAGACCAAACACTTGCCATCAAACAACACATGTTCTGGTGAGAAGAATTTCAAATTATCAATTTGTGTTATTGATTTCAAATGGGCTAAGGCTTTCTCAATTAACAATGTACTCAACAAAATTAATCAAACATTAATTGATGTACATGTTATATATATATATATATATATTGGGCATCACCCTATGAAGCACGGACACCTCTCCGAGGGCTCCGTACCAGTGTCGGACATGGACACGCGTCGGACACGTGGTGAACACGTGTCCAACACGCAGCAGAGAGTGTCCCCTTTTTTTTAAATTTTTTTACATCCGGACACGTTCAGGACACATTATAGACACGTTCGGGGGTAATTTCACATTTTACTAAATTTTTTTGGGGTCGATTTGTGAATAAGTAAAAACAGATCAAAATTTGCTCTAATCTACTTCAAATAGAAGAGAAACAGCAGAGAAAGGGTGAGAAAGAGAGGACCTGACTTCGTCGTTCGTCGTTCGTCTTCTCTCCTCGTCGATCGTCGCTCCTCGTCGGTTGTCTCTTGTCGGTCGTCAGTCATGTCACGCCCTTCGTCGTTAAGGTACACCTCTTCTTCTTCGATCTTCATTCTTTTTCGATTTCCCTCAGTCGCTCTCTCTCTCTCTCTCTCTCTCAACCTCTGTCTTCGATTTTTAAAAATAAATAAAAAATTTTTGTTTGCTGTGCATTTGACTATTCACATATGAAGTAATTATTTGCATGTATAACCTTTGATTTTTTTTTATTAATCAATTTCTTTATTCAATAATGTTAGAATAATCATGTTCTTTTTTTTCTTTTCTTTTTTTCTTTTATATTCTGATTTTATTTTTTCTTTTCTATTATTTGATTATATAATTTTAATAATGTATGTTTATTAATTTTATTATAGGAACCAATTTTTATTAAATGTTTATTTTTTATAATTTTAATAGTGTTATTTTGTATATTTTATTACCTTTTAATGATTATTTTTTATAATTTTATGACATATAATAAATAAAATTAATTATATATATTGAACGTGTCCCCAGCGTGTCGTGTCCCCTATTTTTTGAAAATTTGCCTTTTCGCGTGTCCGTGTCGTGTCCGTGTCGTGTCGCGTGTCCGTGCTTCATAGGCATCACCTAGGTTTTTTAATAGTGTCTTAAACCATGATAGTTTCTGATCAGTCTTTCTTTTTTTTCTTTTTTTTTTCTTCCTGGTTTCTTCATTTGGGTTATGTCACCAATAATTTGAAATTCAATAGGGTTTACATCAAGATACAGACTACATCAAGACCAACGACAGAGATAGAATTGTGTGAGACAAGAGAGATAACCATGGTTTTGGGTGGTAATGAAAGATTAGAAATAGAAACAATAGAGAGAGAGAGAGAAGGAAGAATAAATGACATTATTTTGTAAATTTGAAATAGTATGAGGGGTATATCGGTCATCAAAAATATGATATTCTACATTTGGAAACGTGGTTATCATAATCTATTTATTTGGATGGAAAAACTAGCAGTGTACTTCAATCCACAAATCATAAAGGGGTTCTGTGATTATTTCTAAATGATAGGGAGGTGATCAGTACATGGGCCAAACTAGGAGTTCAATGAAATTTGCCCTTTTTTCTTTCCTCCCCCTCTCAGCCGTGTATAGTGTGTGTGTGTTTGTGTATGTGCTTCAAAAATGAGGAGGGGAGTGGTGTATTTACCCCCAAAAAAAAAAGAGAGGTGAAAAGTCCAATATGACGTTGGTTCTAATTCAATTGAATATTTTTTAATTTAGTTAGGATAAAATGGAATCATGGATGATTAGGAACCTTAATTATGTACTTAAATATGAGCTAGTTAGGTTTTGCTCTCAATTAAACTATCCTAATTACAAGTACAATGCATATATACATCTATATATAATTGGTACTAGGTCAAACTTTTTCCTAGAATTATAAATTTGCCTCCGAAAGGACATTACCTATATCTATCCAAGCTATGGCCGACCAATGCACTTGATTTTGAGGGATTTTCTTTCTTTCTTTTTTTTTTCTTTTTTTGGGTACAAATTCCATATATATAAAGATATTTTAGGTGCAAAATTATTTGTTTAAGAAAAAATGGTACAAGTATATATATAATGGTACTAACTTAGGGTCAATTGGTAATTCAAGTAAAATGTGACGGCTAAGGCCCTAATTAATGAATTGGAACATTTATTTAAGTGCATTGTTTAATTAAATGAGGGATTGAGAATTCAATTTGGTTAAAGTTTATTCGTTTCGAATTAAATGGCGAACGAAATGAGAATCGAGAATCTAAAATTTTGAGTGACCAATCCTTAATTAGGGAGTTAATTAATTAGTACTAGGGTTTGAAAATGATTCCTAATTTGTTGGGTTCGATTAGGGTTCGCGTGTTTCGATCGGGACACGTTTTCGATTTTAGGGTTAAAATTGCAAGTAAACAAGAATTCAAGGGCTTTCATTGAAGTTACTCAAAAGTAAGGGTGTAAATGGGATTACAAAAGTTAGGGTCCTCACAGGGTCCATCCTTTCTTCTTAATACGGATTTTTTCAGGATCGTAAATGGGGTACTTTCTTTTTTACAACCTACTGAATATCGACTTAGGTTTGAAAGACCTCTAGTATTTTTATAGCATTTATCAAACCCAAACTGGGGCTTTCTTCTTAGCGTCCAATAATCAAGACCAAGATCAATCTCTTGTTCAGGTACTTCTTGAGTCTCTTCAGTAAAGGACAAAGACATTATAGTTTCGGGGAACTAGGAGTTTGTGCCCTCTCTCTTTGCAAGTGGTGTTGCCACTGTACCCCGAACACTGGGTGCAAGTGATTAATTTTTGTAACAAAATTTCTGTTTTGTTCCTTTGGCTATGCTAAGTAAATGATTTATTCTTATCCTTTTTCATTCATCAGCTGGTTAACACTGATCGTCAAAACGAGTTGTGGGGTATAAATTTGCCAGCCCTTCAAACTGTCTGGAAGTTCAAAGGTGTTGCCTTTCGATCAGTAGAAGTTTTGACGGATCAATTCTTCCATCGGGCTACTCTTGTTCCAGTCCCTCCTACCCCTGTTCTTATTGTTGAGGCTTTCAAAGTGCCTTAGGAGGAAGGATCATTGCTACTGCCGCTCTTCAAGAGTCCAATCAACCAGTTGACGGTAAGCGGGCCTAAGAGGCCATTCATATATCTGTTGGGTCGTCAAATTCATCTCTTTCAGCTATGGTGGAGTAGCATCGTCTTTCTAGGTAATTTGATTTGCCCCCTACATCAAGTTGAAAGGCAGGTAGGGGAAGTTCACGCAGGTCGTCAAAACATCCACCCAAAGGGGTATCTCCCACGTCATGTTAACGCCACCTCCAATCAGGGAAAGGGCAAGCAGAGACCACAACTAAGGGGCCAATCTAGTACGTTTTTCAACCAATGATAGGGGATCACTCGCTGATTCTGTACTCTCGGATGTAGGCATTACTCTAGTAATGGCTTGAGGCATACGCGTCCCTGAAGACATCTATCGTTTAGAAGGACAGCCTGACCAACATATATTAGGACAAGATATCCAAAATCTGGTGATGGTAAGGTTGCTTATTTGCTAAACTGACATGTTTGTCATAACAATCCCCCTTCTTTTTTTTTTTTGTTAAAACTAAAATGTGTGCTCATGGAAGCGAGAATCAGATTGACTAGGGATAGGGATTACCGTGATAAAGAGAGACGTAAGATTGAAGATGAGAGGAGGCTAATGGCGGATGAGAGAAAGAAAATCAAGAAGGACCTTGGTTGCGTTAATGGCAGAGTTACTGTAGGGGAGTCTAGTCAAATAACGGCGAGAGAGAACTTTCAAACCGCTACCTAACAGCTTGATCGGCTTAGAGTGGGGCATGAGGCACTCAAGGCCACTTTAGAAGAAGTGAGAGCTCGGCAGATGGCTGATATAAAAGACAATATTGAATCCACCTGAAACGAAGTCAACGCTCTCTACTTCGACCATTTGAATAAACTGGAGAATTTTTTTCTTCAGAGAAAGGTGAAGGGCTACCCTGAAACATGCTAGAATAGTTGAGTCCTCTCTATTTGTACTCCCAGATTCCTTTCCCAAATCCAGATATTCTCTTTCCAGTTGAACTGAAAAATCTGTAAAAACCTTCCCTCTCGTTTTTTATGTTTTTCTTTTGATTGAGCGTATTTCTTTTGCTTTTATGGATTGCTGATCACACTTTTTTGTAAAGTTTTAATGAAATGAAAAAAGCACACTTATTTAAGTAAAATCTTTAAACCTTGTATTTATTTATTATGCTTTTAGTTTAAGTATTATTACATCATAATTACAAGGTTAATGATAATACTTTTTTAAAGTGCACAGCATTCCAAGGCTTAGGAAGCACATTTCCTTGAACGTTAGCAATCTCATAAGCCCCTTCTCCAGTCAAATCCGTAACCTGGTACGGTCCATCCTAATTTGGCCCTAGTTTCTTGCCAGCCGCCCTACGGTCGCTTGGCAAAATCTTTTTCAGGATCAGATTGCCGATCACGTATTGCCAAGGTAACAATCTCTTATTATACACCCAAGCTAATTCTTACTGATACCACATCAAACGAAGAGAATCTTGCTCTCGTTTTTCTTCGAACAAATCTAGGTCCTTTAAGATCGGGCTTTTATTTATCCATTCTTAATCAGTTCATCCCATAAGGAGTTCAACTTGTAGAATTACGGCTTCCAACCAAATGTAAGAGAGAACGGGGCCTCACTCGTTACATGCCATGGGGTAGTTCTGTATGCTCAGAGTATTGTTGGAAGCTCTTTGGCCCACCTTCCTTTAGCGGCCTCCAACTGTTTCTTCATCCCATTCGAGATAGTCTTGTTTGATGCCTCTGCATGTCCATTGCTTTGGGGATATGCTAGTGTGGAGTAATAGGTTTTGATCCCATATTATTCGCAGAATTCCTTATATAGGCCACAATCAAATTGTGTACCATTATCGGCTATAAGGGCTTTAGGAATGCTAAACCCGGTGATAATGTTCTTTCATACAAACTTTTGGATGTCCATGTCTCTAATATTGTTCAGCGGCTCTGCCTCTACTTATTTTGTGAAGTAAGTTGTGGCTACGATTAGCCATCTCTTGTTATCAGGTACCCTAGGTGTAGATCTGACCAGATCCAACTCCCATTTTGTGAATGGCCAAAGGCTTGCGGCTGGGTTGAGTTCTTCGGATGGTTGGCGTATCATTGACACGTACCTTTGACATGCTTCACATCATTGGACGAACAGTTGGGCATCTTTTTGTATGTACAACCAGCAATAACCTTGGGAAAGTGCCTGATGTGACAATGATCTTCCTCCTGCATGCAATCTGCATGATCCCTCATGGATTCTTCTAATATCCTTCATATCTCCTCTAGGTGGACACACCTGAGGTAGGGAGTAGAATATGATTTCCAGAATAGTCGGTTCTCATTTTTCAACCAAAAACACATGGCTTGTTGCCGAAGCCGATGTGCTTCCTTCTTGTTGGCTGGTAGTAATCCATTAGATAGATACTAACTATGGGAGTCATCTAACATTCCCTTGTCTAGACATTCAGAACTTCAGCTGATGTGATACTAGATACGACAATAGTGTCGATCTTTATCTTCCAACTTCTTGTTTAACCAATGGCCGAGTCCAAGCTAGCCAATGCATCTACGTGACTGTTTTGATCTCGACCTAGCTGTTGAATGTTACATAAGGAGAATCGGTCAGCTATTGCCTTGGCTATGGCCAGGTACTTTGCCATTCTTTTATCGCAAGGGATGTACTTCCCAATCATTTGTTTTGTCACCAGTTGAGAGTCACATAATACGTGGATGGAATCTGCTCCTAGTATACTTGTGGTTTTTAGCCTGTTGATGAGGGGATCTTAGTTACATTCATTATTGGGGGTTGAAAAATCCAGCCAAATAGAAAATTCCAAGACTTTTTTTCGGGGGTTATCAACACAAATCCTACCCTTGTAACTCTGCTATTTAAGGCACCATTACACTATAAAATCCATGATGCCCCCGATGAACGACTACTTTTAACTTTCGTCTTTTCCCTGGGCAATAACTCTGCTATGAAATCTAACAAGACCTATACTTTGACAGGAGTCCGTAGCTTGAATTGAATGTCGTATTGTTCGACCTCGACAACCCATTTCGAGATTCTTCTCGATATATCTAGTTTGTGAAGAATCCTCTTGAGTGGGTGTTCAGTGTAGACAATAATGGAATGGGTCAGGAAATAATGCATCAATTTTCTAAAGGTGATCACAATTACTGAAATAAGTTTTTTTAATGGCAGATACCTTGTTTCTGCATCAAGCAAAGTTTTACTTACATAGAACACAGAGGATTGCCTCTTTGTTGATTCTCTAATGAGTGTTGAACTTATGGCATGATCTGAAATGGCCAAATAAACATAAAACTTTTTCCCTAGTTCAGGGATGGTGAGTAGATGAGGTTTTGCTAGGTATTCCTTCAACTCTTGCAATACTTGTCTATCTCTCTCTCAAGTTCTTCCTTCCCGTCGATTCTTCTCCTAGGGTTTTTAATCAATGTTTTGAAGAATTTTAATCACTGTTTTTTATTGATTAGTTTGGATTGATCAATCAGTGTTTTACACATCTCATTTATTTTTCCCCAGATCGCCAGAACTGATTTTTCAACCAGTGTTCTTTATTTTTCACTCTCTGTTTTTTTATTACCCTGTTTTAAACCCTAAATTAGCATCAACAATATTAGCCTGTTTTTTTCCTATGCTGATCTAATTTTTGGTCCCAATTCTGATGTATGCACATATTATAATTTTCTTAATGGCATTGTTGTTAGGGTTGCAAAGTTTAATGGCTCTAGCTAATTTTTAGGAGTTAAGTTTGTGAATCTTTTGTACTTATTCCAGTGACAAGATTAGGGGCTTTAAGTAAGAAATAAGAGTGAAAGATGCGACTGTAAACAGAACTTACTGTCTACATACAAATAAATATGGAAATCAATTGTTCCAATGAGTAATAGATAAAAAGATTATGAATAATGAATGATAGAATGCTGCCAAGCTTACAAATTAATATATTTACAGATTCTCATTAGTAAAACTCAGTGGCCATGTGGTCATGATTGTCTTGACTTCTCTTTTGGAAAAAATGTTCCCCGGTATAGGATGATAGGCTCTGACCCCTAGTCAGCTGTATTAGGGAACCAATATATTCATATTCATAAAATGATACTGGTTTTAAGCATGTCCTGTTGATTGAGTGTTTTTTCAAAACTCTAAAACTCATTACATGTATTTTTTTTTTTTTTTGAAATCTGGTTTTGCAGACACAGTGGCCAACAATCCCTCGGAATTTACCAAAGATACTTCGTCCCTTGATGCTTTTGCTCAAGCCATTGATTCAGTTTCTTATGCTTCTTTGGTTTCTTTGTGTCAAAATACCTGCTCCTGATGTTTTTATAGTGCAGGTGAGCTCTGAAAGATGTATGTGGCTGAATTATTGTCAAAATACATTGTTTGACACTTTTTAAGTTATATTGTTTTGGCAGTGTTTTGATGACCTTTTTATTACTGTAAATCTTTAGAACTTTTCTTATATAACTGCTAAAGTGTTAGCATTGAAAAAGTTCATTGAAATAAGCATGATTTAGGTAGAATATCTGGTAACAATTTCATTAGAGGAAGTATTATATGTTATCTTTTGTGCATTATTATTATCTTATTGGTTCGTTTTATTGAATGCTTTGAAGTTTTGGGAAAGAATATTGTTAGTGTCCAATTTCTGTCTTTCTTCTTTTACTAGGGGTCACATACTGAACAAAGTAGTTGCAGCTTCAACCTATAAAAATATTGGTGACCCAAAATGGGCCTAACCTGTAATCATCCATGGCTATGTTTGCTTGGCCATGATTCTAGTCAGTTTTGAATAGGAGTGTCGTGCCTTGCATGCTTGGATTGATATTTTGGTCTAAACTACCTTGTTTCGGCTTCTGTAGAATCCACCTTCTGTCCCAACTTTAGTGGCTGTAAAGTGGGCAAGCTGGTTGAGGCGTTCTGCATTTATTGTTGATTGGCACAGTTTTGGATATACTTTGCTAGCATTGTCTCTCAGAAGAAGTAGTGTTTTTGTGGCAATATACCATTGGTACACTTGAATTGACTTGTAAACTTTCCTTTGGATTTGAAGGCCTTTCTTTGTCTTCATACCTGAAGTGTGAGTTTTTGGTGCATGTTTAGGTTTGAGAAGCATTTTGGGAAGATGGCAAATGGTTCCTTATGCGCGACAAGGGCAATGCAACATGAATTGGCACAAAACTGGGGAATTAAGTAAGATGGGTCTTCTGAAAGTTTGCAATAGCCTCCATTCTGCTTGTTCAAATTTATTATTAAGCCGTTTAATGGTACATTTTTTGTTTTCTTTCATGTTTTAAATTTGTAGTGCTGCAGTTCTTTATGACCAGCCTCCTGAGTTTTTATTGAATTGGTTGATTGCTTATATTTGGATCAGTGTCTTGCCAACAAACTGCTTAAACTTATTATAGGTCAAGGCTAGCTAATTTTCCTGGTTTGGCTGCACCTGATGGAATGGATACATCATATTTGGCATGATTTTTTTTTTTTAAATTAATGTGCATCCTCATAAGTGGATGCATTGAAGTAACTATATTCCTATTGTATTCAAAGTAGTTGATATTCATTATTTTTGGAATCTTTGCAGATTACTGACTTGCCATTTTCTCTATATTCAACATTTGTCATTGAGGCCCGCCATGGTTTCATCAAAGTTTGTACTCTCTCAGTACTGATTATCATGTTCATATATTGTTATTTCCTACCTTAAAAATTTAGTTGTTACATTCTTGCTCTTGTTTTGCTGAAGTAACAGCAAACAATATGGTTATTCATTAGGGACATGATTAAAGGAATCATCCTAGCAACTATAATTGGACCGCCTATTGTCGCAGCAATTATTGTAATAGTACAGGTACTGTTTTTTTCACTGTATTAAGACATTTCAGTTTTACTTTGCTGGTTGGTGATAAAAAATGTTCATTTGTTTGGGTTGCAGAAAGGAAGTCCTTGGCCATCTATCTTTGGGGGTTTCTGCTTGTTCTATCTCTTGTGATGATGACTGTGTACGACGTTTTAATTGCGTCACTTTTTAACAAGCTCACTCCAGTGAGTTTCAAATATATTTTTAGCCCATTTTAATTGAAGAAATCAATTCAAGTTCATGTTTATTTTAATGGTAATTTATTGTGGTATGTTCTGTCAAACAGCTTTCGGATGGAGAACTCTGCATGGTTGAGAAGCTATTTATTCACTACGTGGTCAGATCTTATCTTGGGTTATTTGAACAGGTTTACTGTCAATAAGTTGCGTTGATTGTTTATTTGAATAGGTTTACCATCAATAAGTCGGTGATTCATCAGAGCGATTTCGAAGTTCTCTCTCGAAATCAAAATCGAAGTTCATCTCAGTGATTCATAACGGTGAGCTCCACTCTTTCTTTCTTTCTTTCTCTCTCTCTCTCTCTCTCTCTTTCTCTCTCTCTCTCTCTCTCTCTCTCTTAAGGTGAAATCAATCCTGTGAAATTCTATGAATGGTTTCGATATTTGATTTGAAACGATCCTGTCATAACCCTCATTTTGCTGAAATTCTATTAATGGTTTTTTTAATCTTATAATTTGAACTAAAACTTCTTATTTTGCTGTGATTTGTTAATAGAGAGAAGTACGAAATTGGTTAACTGATTGGTGGGGGAGAGACAGATAAATGGAATAAAACAAAGAAATAAATTGCTATTAAAAACTATCCCACTTCACATGGCCAAGCCTATTGTTAATTGATATGGGATCATAAGAATCAAAACAAATCCCTTCATAATTATTATTTTGTCTTAATGTAAACGACTCTATTAGAAGATTCCATTGAATGTTTTAAAAAATGACAATAGTACCTCTGACTTGTAGTTGAAAATTGTTGTAATCATTATTTTGTCTTCCGTAGTATTTGATTGCTTTTTGCAGTATGGCGTTTGTTGATGCAAGATACTGGTATTTGGCCTAGCTATACATCTGCTTCTTCGTTAATATTTTGTTTTTTGTTTTAGAGTTTTACTCGGGGTAAATTAAAAGACTTCTGGTTTTGTTGGATTTTAATCTTCATACGGTTCTTGCCTAATTTAAACGAACTTATTTTATTTTATTTTTTTATAAATTGTTGTTTCTATATTTCTTATGAATTACCTTCTAAAATTGTTTCAGGTTGGAACTATTATTGGGCTTCTGGCCTTGACAGGATTGGTAGTCTTTATGCTTTTCTTTCTGGCAGCAGCTGTCAATGCCATTATAATATCTCTTCTCGTGTCTTTAGCTGCAGCAGGGGGCTTCTTGGCTCTTTTCTTTGCCTGTGTGACGGCAATTTACATTGGGGCATTATTAGTTTGGGCTCACACTTGGCTCTATCTAGATAGATCAGCCAATAGACTTCAGCTTGGTAGAGTTCTTGGGGATGAATGTCTATTGTTCTTGAGATTTGACTGTACATTTTGTACCAGTTAAAGATTTAATATTTATTGAAGTTTATAGAAAGCCGAACCCTGTGAATTTTCATGATGAATTTGCTCCTGATGTTACCATTTTGTTTCTTAAATCCTTGTGCATCTCAGGTTGGATTGGATTCTTTTAGACTATGTGGTTGGCAACAAAGAAAAGCGTGGGGCTCGCAAAGCATTCGTTGACTGTGACTGGATCAGCGCTTTCTGCTTACTCTTCTGCCTAGCATGTTCGCAGCTGTCATAAGGCATGATAAAGTTTCAGATTGATTGAATTGCTGCTGTAGAAACTAGTCCGTGTAGAAATTTAATGGAAAAAAAAAAAGGCAGTTTGTAGTCTTGTGTAGAAATGTTTGAAGTACATATATTTTTTTGTTTTGATAAACAATGCAGGTCTCTGAAAATGATAGAGAAGCTATCAGTACTGCATACTTGGCAAGGCATCCAATGCATTCTGGGTAACTTTTTTGGCCACTTGTTTTTGAAGTTATAGTGCATAATGTGATGAATTGATAGCAATCTTTTGTATTTTTTTTTCTTTTTCTTTTTGAGATTAACTTTTTTTCCTTATAATTTAGTCTCTCAGCAGTTGACAAAAATTGGGTTATTCAGGTTATCTTTAGCAGGGAGAAAATGAACTCCTTGGAGTTGATGGCAAGTATGACAGTATGTCAAGTTTCCAGAAAAAACCAAAGGAAGTGAATGTCAGGTTGATTAATTTTTTCTAATTAATGGCAAGTATGCAATGTTTTTTATTAATTTTCCTTGGAGTTGATGGCAAGTATGCAGTGTTTTTTATTAATTTTTTCTGTAGAATGTCAGGTTGATTTTTTCCTTTGGTTTATGCTCTCAGATGTTTCTAGTTCAGACAAAGCACTGCAGTTTCGATGTCGATGTAATTGAATAAAAAACAGAGAGAAGCAAGTGTAGTTTCATTTATTTCCTCACCCATTTCATGCATGAGAGATTAAATTTAAATGCTATGTTGCCATCTTTCTGATGTATGATTTTTGGATAGAGAGTTTGTGGAAAGAGGTACCTTCCTGTGGGTTCTCACTGCAGGAGCAGAGGTTATCTGCTACTTTTTTTTGGTGTGTGGATGTGTTAGGTTATGCTGTTGTATTTTTAGTCACATCTCTATCTGACTGATTACAGGCAAAAGCTATGAACACGATTGTTTCCCCCTCGCATTTCATATTGTTCCTCCCCTTTGTGCAGATTCCACAGTGCTTGCTTATGTGTTGTCAGAGCTGAATCGTCGGCATAATTATGGCGTAAATCTATTTCTCTTGTCAGTTGATGAAGGCATCGCAGGGTATAGGGATGATTCACTTGAAACTGTTAAAAGAAATGAAGTCCAGGTGAGCAAGTCTCCTGATTTTTTAGTTTAGCACAAGTTGGGTCGTTTTTGCTTATTCTGCTATTGGTTCATTTATTTATTTTCTTGCAGCACAACATTTTAATTTTTCTTTTTGTCCTGCAATCTTTTCTTTACTGTTGTTGCTGACTCATTAATTTTTGTTCTTGCTGTTCTAAGAACTTCTATTTTAGCTAATAAAATGGTTTTTAATCTTTTGTCTTTTTAATCAACGAGTCCTGTGTGCTTATGTGTGTCCTTTTTTTCCTTTTCCTTTTTTCAGTATGGACTACCACTAAAAGTGGTGTCTTACAAGGAACTGTACGGATGGACAATGGACGAAATAATGAAGATTATTCGATTAAAGAACAATTGCACATTTTGTGGTGTTTTCTGTCGCCAGGTAGAGCAGTTATGCATTTTCAAATTGATGAACTTAATTTCTCTTTTTTCCTGCCCTTGTTTCTAGATGCAAAAATGATGAAATGAATTGAGTTTGATTGTAATGATGGAATGCTTTCTCTGCAAGGCCCTTGATTGTGGTGTCTCATTGCTAAAAGTAGACAAGCTAGCTACTGGACATAATGTAGATGATATTGCTGAAACAGTTCTTTTAAACATATTACGAGGTGATATTGCTAGGTAATATCTCATCTAAGGTTTCTTTTTCTTTAACTTTTGTTTATTTGCTGAGCTAAGATTATGTTTTTCTGTTGTAGGTTGAGTTGATGCACATTCTATAACCAATTCCAAGATGCAAGCCATTTAAGTATACCTATGAAAACGAGATTGTTATATATCCTTTCCATTGGGTTGATGATTTGTGCCTAAAGTTGGCATTTGTATATTAATCTGATTTTTTACTGATTCCTTTTAGTTGCCAAACCTTAACCAGCTGTTCACGTATGCATATTTTAAGAGGCTGGACTACTCCACTGAATGTAATTTTCAACCCCTTTTCATTTTTATTTTCTAGGAGGCCACATTTACTCACAGTTTCCATCCCAATCTCTCCCCAGGAAATGGAATTATCATGTTTAACATTACATGCTATATTTCTCTTTTCCTTCATATGCCTACTTCTGTGACTCCTCATACTGGCACTTGAGATATTTTATTTATTTTGGATGGTGATTTTTCCTATATAATTCTCCGTTTTCCTTAATTGGTTCTTTGATGGGATGATGATTTTTTTTGGCTTCAATATTTTGTAATTATGTACCATGGCTGTACATTTTTAATAGTTTTTTGTATTGCTATATTTAAAAGTTTGTCTGCTACTGAAATTATAAGCATTTAACATAAAATTAGCACAAATTAGGAAAAAAAAAAAGAAAAAAAAAGAGGGCTATTACAGCGTTTCTAAGACGTCGCTAAATAGCATCCTAACGGTTGGATTTTTTTGGAAAAAGGAGATACGACGGCGTTTTAAAAACGTCGCTAAATAGCATGGTGACGTCATGTGACATTGAGTCCAGTGACGTTTCTAAAGCGTCATAGAGTTATAGCAACGGCCGTATCTTCGGCGTTTGGTGCTAAACGTCACAAAAGGATTTAATGGCATTTTTAAGACCTATAGCGGCGTTTTTTAAACGCCTCCAAAACTTCAATTTCCAGCAGTGAAGCGAGAATCAGATTGACTAGGGATAGGGATTACCGTGATAAAGAGAGACATAAGATTGAAGATGAGAGGAGGCTAATGGTGGATGAGAGAAAGAAAATCAAGAAGGACCTTGGTTGCGTTAATGGCAGAGTTACTGTAGGGGAGTCTAGCGCTACCTAACAGCTTGATCGGCTTAGAGTGGGGCATGAGGCACTCAAGGCCACTTTAGAAGAAGTGAGAGCTCGGCGGATGGCTGATATGAAAGACAATATTGAATCCACCTGAATCGAAGTCAACGCTCTCTACTTCGACCATTTCAATAAACTGGAGAATTTTTTTCTTCAGAGAAATGTGAAGGGCTACCCTGAAACGTGCTAGAATAGTTGAGTCCTCTCTATTTGTACTCCCAGATTCCTTTCCCAAATCCAGATATTCTCTTTCGAGTTGAACTGAAAAATCTGTAAAAACCTTCCCTCTCATTTTTTCTGTTTTTCTTTTGATTGAGCGTATTTCTTTTGCTTTTATGGATTGCTGATCACACTTCTTTGTAAAGTTTTAATGAAATGAAAAAAGCACACTTATTTAAGTAAAATCTTTAAACCTTATATTTATTTATTATGCTTTTAGTTTAAGCATTATTACATCATAATTACAAGGTTAATGATAATACTTTTTTAAAGTGCACAGCATTCCAAGGCTTAGGAAGCACATTTCCTTGAACATCAGCAATCTCATAAGCCCCTTCTCCAGTCAAACCCGTAACCTGGTACGGTCCATCCCAATTTGGCCCTAGTTTCTTGTCAGCCGCCCTACGGTCACTTGGCAAAATCTTTTTCAGGATCAGATTGCCGATCACGTATCGCCAAGGTAACAATCTCTTATTATACACCCAAGCTATTTCTTACTGATACCACATCAAATGAAGAGAATCTTGCTCTCGTTTTTCTTCGAACAAATCTAGGTACTTTAAGATCAGGCTCTTATTTATCTTATTCTTAATCAGTTCATCCCATAAGGAGTTCAACTTGTAGAATTACAACTTCCAATCAAATGTAAGAGAGAACGGGGTCTCACTCGTTACATGCCATGGGGTAGTTCTGTATGCTGAGAGTATTGTTGGAAGCTCTTTGGCCCACCTTCCTTTAGCGGCCTCCAACTATTTCTTCATCCCATTCGAGATAGTCTTGTTTGATGCCTCTGCATGTCCATAGCTTTGGGGATATGCTAGTGTGGAGTAACAGGTTTTGATCATGTTGAACCCGGTGATAATGTTCTTTCATACAAACTTTTGGATGTCCATGTCTCTAATATTGTTCAGCGGCTCTGCCACTACTTATTTTGTTAAGTAAGTTGTGGCTACGATTAGCCATCTCTTGTTATCGGGTACCCTAGGTATAGATCTGACCAGATCTAACTCCCATTGTGTGAATGGCCAAAGGCTTGCGGCTGGGTTGAGTTCTTCAGATGGTTAGCGTATCATTGACACGTACCTTTGACACGCTTCACATCATTGTTGGACGAATTGTTGGGCATCTTTTTGTATGTACAACCAGCAATAACCTTCGGAAAGTGCCTGATGTGACAATGATCTTCCTCCTGCATGCACTCTGCATGATCCCTCATGGATTCTTCTAATATCCTTCATATCTCCTCTAGGTGGACACACCTGAGGTAGGGAGTAGAATATGATTTCCAGAATAGTCGGTTCTCATTTTTCAACCAAAAACACATGGCTTGTTGCCGAAGCCGATGTGTTTCCTTCTTGCTGGCTGGTAGTAATCCATCAGATGGATACTAACTATGGGAGTCATCTAACATTCCCTTGTCTAGACATTCAGAATTTCAGCTGATGTGATACTAGATACGACAATAGTGTCGATCTTTATCTTCCAACTTCTTGTTTAACCAATGGCCGAGTCCAAGCTAGCCAATGCATCTACGTGACTGTTTTGATCTCGACCTAGTTGTTGAATGTTACATAAGGAGAGCCAGTCAGCTATTGCCTTGGCTATGGCCAGGTACTTTGCCATTCTTTTATCGCAAGGGATGTACTTCCCAATCATTTGTTTTGTCACCAGTTGAGAGTCACATAATACGTGGATGGAATCTGCTCCTAGTATACTTGTGGTTTTTAGCCTGTTGATGAGGGGATCTTAGTTACATTCATTATTGGGGGTTGAAAAATCCAGCCAAATAGAAAATTCCAAGACTTTTTTTCGGGGGTTATCAACACAAATCCTACCCTTGTAACTCTGCTATTTAAGGCACCATTACACTATAAAATCCATGATGCCCCCGATGAACGACTACTTTTAACTTTCGTCTTTTCCCTGGGCAATAACTCTGCTATGAAATCTAACAAGACCTATACTTTGACAGGAGTCCGTAGCTTGAATTGAATGTCGTATTGTTCGACCTCGACAACCCATTTCGAGATTCTTCTCGATATATCTAGTTTGTGAAGAATCCTCTTGAGTGGGTGTTCAGTGTAGACAATAATGGAATGGGTCAGGAAATAATGCATCAATTTTCTAAAGGTGATCACAATTACTGAAATAAGTTTTTTTAATGGCAGATACCTTGTTTCTGCATCAAGCAAAGTTTTACTTACATAGAACACAGAGGATTGCCTCTTTGTTGATTCTCTAATGAGTGTTGAACTTATGGCATGATCTGAAATGGCCAAATAAACATAAAACTTTTTCCCTAGTTCAGGGATGGTGAGTAGATGAGGTTTTGCTAGGTATTCCTTCAACTCTTGCAATACTTGTCTACATTCTAGAGTCCACGAGAACTGAGCTTTCTTCTTTACTAACTGAAAGAATGTTTGGCAGTAATCCGAAGATCGGCTAATGAATCTATTAAGCGTAACTGTCATCACTGTAAGTGGCTGAATGCCTTTTACCAACGTGGGTGGGGTTATGTTAAGCAACTCTCGAATCTGTTTGGAACTTACTTCTATTTCGCGCTGAGTGGCTATATAGCCGAGCAACTTCCCTGAACCATCCCCCAAAACACACTTTGCTGTGTTTAGTTTCATCCTAAATTTTCGGAGGATCTCAAATGTTTTTCAGAGATCTGTTAGGTGGTCCTCATCCCATTGTGACTTGATCACCATGTCATCGATATATACCACAAGTTTTCAACCAATCATATCATGGAACATCTTCATATCCAGTCATTGGTATGTTGCCCCAGCATTCTTTAATCCAAACGACATCAGCTTGTAACAGAACGACCTCATAAGGGTGATAATGGCCATTTTCTTCTGATCGTCTAGGTGCATAGCTATTTGTTGATACTCTCAGTATGCATCAAAAAAACTCATCCTCTGGTGTCCCGATGTGGCATCTACCAATTGGTCAATTTTCGACAAATGAATGTTCTTCTTTGGGCATGCTCTATTTAGGTTGGTGAAGTTCGTACAAACTCTCCACTTTCCATTCTTCTTCACAACGACGGTATTGGAAAACCACTCTAGATACTAAATCTCTCGGATGGCGTCGACTTCTAGTAACCTTGTTACTTCTTCTTTAACAGCTTCCACGTATTATGATACCAATCTCCAGCTCTTCTGTATTATCAGTTTGAAGTTTGGATCCATGTTTAGCTTATGGCAAGCCACTTCTAAATCAATTCTTTTCATCTCATGCGGAGTCTATACAAACACATCCCTAAATTGTAATAGGAAGTGGACAAGTTGGTGTCTCTTTCTTCAAACTAAAGCTCTTTCTAACTAGAAAGAATTTTTTCTCGTCTGTTGGGTCAATCGATAGCTTTTTTAATTCTTTTACACTTTTTGCGGACAACTCCATGCCAACCTGCTTTTCGCTTTCATCATGTGCTTAGACCTCCTAAATTCTCTTGTCAAAAAAAGATACTATCATGCCTTACTTAGTAGATGTTTGATTTCCCCTAATTTAACCAATGCCATCTCCTGCTGGGAACTGTATAACCTGATGAAAGGTAGATAGAATTGCTCTTATTTTGTGAAGCCATGACCTTCCCATTATCGCATTGTGTCGAGAGGGGATGTTCACCACATGGAATTTCATCTACTAGGTTGTTGTTGCTGCCTTTACTAGCAAGAGGATTTTCCCAGAGGAATAATTGCGCTAGAATTAAAGTCATACAACGGTGAATCGATAAGATGCAGGTCTTCGTATGACAATCCTAACTTCTTGAACAACCCATAGTACATGACATCCAAAGAGCTACCTTGATCTAGCAGTATCCTCTTCACGGTGAATTCTCTAATTTGCAAGGTTACTACTAGGGCGTCACTATGTAGATAGTGAATCCACGACAAGTCTTTATCAAAAAATGAGATCCTCTCTTTTGAAGAACGTATTCTTTTTAAAGAGCCTTCAAACAAGGCCGACCTTCTATTCTCTCCCCTAACTTGATTTATTTGCTTCCTCAAGGGGAATCGAATAGATCATGTCGATGGTTTCTATTGGCT